GCTCACAAATATTGTGGAGCACACAACCTGCTGCCACCATGTGAGGGATGTTGCACTCCCCAAGGTCCAACCAGGTGAGGAGGCATCCGAACCACACCTTCAAACACCCAAAAGCGCTCTCCACTACCCATGCAGGCCCTGCTGAGCCTGACATTGTAGTATTTCCAAGAGTTGTCGAGGTGGCCGGTGTATGACTTCATGAGCTAAAATATTGTGGAGCACACAACCTGCTGCCACCATGTGAGGGATGTTGCACTCCCCAAGGTCCAACCAGGTGAGGAGGCATCCGAACCACACCTTCAAACACCCAAAAGCGCTCTCCACTACCCATGCAGGCCCTGCTGAGCCTGACATTGTAGTATTTCCAAGAGTTGTCGAGGTGGCCGGTGTATGACTTCATGAGCTAAGGCAAGCATGTGTAGGCCGTGTCCCCCACCATGCACATGGGCATGTCCATGTCCCTGACCCTGATGGTGTGGTCAGGGAAAAAAGTTCCAGCATGCAGTTTCTCGAAGACACTGGAGTTGTGGAAGATGCGGGCATCATGTGCCTTCCATGACCATCCAACGAAGATGTCCGTAAACTGGCCTCAGTGGTCCATGACGGCCTGTAGGACCATCAAAAAATATCCCTTCTGGTTGATGTAGAGAGATGCTCAGTGGTTGGGGCCCTGGATGGGGATGTGGGTGCCATCAATAGCCCCCTGCAGTTGGAGAAGCTCATGTCGGCAAATCAGGTGATGATGGCATCCACGTCGCTGAGGGGGATGACCCTGCGCAGCAGGATGGTGTTGATGGCCCTCACTACCTGCAGAAGGAGACAAACAAACAGAGAATCATAGGGGTACTAGGGCCAGTGGGAGGTTCCCCTAGCCCATCCCACCGTTTCTCCTACACACACACCAGAAGCAACCCCCCACTTACACCATCCCCGGGCAGGGCTGTGAGGGTAGTTCTGAAAAAACCTCCTGGGAAGGGGCTTGCACCTCCCTCTACTCCCACCCTCCTTTTCCCTAGGGAGCCCCATTCCAGCAGTCCACCCCCCTCCAGGGACAATAACCTGCGAATGCCATACCTTCATGAGCACAGCCCGATGGTCAATCTCCCCACACTGAACAGGTTCCCGAAGGATTGGTAGCTATCTGGTGTGGTGAGCTTCCAGAGGCTGATGGTGGCACACTTCTGGAGGGTGTCATGTGAGTGTCCTGCTGCCTGAGGGCAGGGGCGAGCCAGAAACATATCCTTCCTCATGCTGACATTATGGAGCCATTGCTGGTCTCCCCACTGCTCCATGACGATCCAGTCCCACCAGTTGGCACTGGTGTCCCAATCCAGCTGAATGAGCCGCGCCCACTGAGATCCAAGAAGGGTCTCCCAGAGGAGCTGGGGGTTGGGCTCCTGCAGGCCCTGGGAGGCAGCCTGCAGAAACTGCTGTATGAGTTTCACCACAAGCTGCGATAGCTGTAGTCTGCCCAGAGGCAACTTCGGCTCCATAGCTGGCAAGCTGAGATGTTCACAAGGGCAACTGCAGCAGGCAGAAGAAAAGGCTTTGCTGTCCCTCGAGGAGGTAAGCAAAGGAAAAAAGCCTGAGACACTGCTATACAAGGGGGTCCCTTTAAGCACAAGCCTCAGATAGCCTCAAGCAGCAGCCACATGAAGTAACTGCTGACCTGTCTGAAGTGGTTCCAGGTGGCCTTAAAAGCGAGTTAGCGTCCAATCAGTGTGGATGCTCTATTTCAAAATAGCTAAGTACTATTTCAATGTGCATTTGGTGTGTAGATGTGCTATTTTGAAATAAGCTATTTTAGAAGATATCTTCCAAAATAGCTTATTTCAAAATAGATGTGCAGTGTAGATGTAGTCTATGGCTACGTCTAGACTGGCCCCTAATTCCGGAAAAGTCATGCAAAGCAGGTAAGTCAGAACAGGGAAATCCGCGGGGGATTTAAATATCCCCCACAGGATTTAAATAAACATGGCCGCCGCTTTTTTCCGGCTTGGGGAAAAGCCGGAAAAGAGCGTCCAGACCGGCGCGATACTCCGGAATAAAGCCCTATTCCGGAGGATCTCTTATTCCTACTTGCAAGGAATTAGGCCTTAAATGTTATCCATTTATCCATTCATCCACTTCCTAAACTCTACCTTCTAGATGCTCTTGGAGGCACGTACACACTATTCAATGGCTGTTCTTCAAATGAGCTCTGGGAAAATACCGAGTTGAGGCTTTCCTTGATTGCAAGAAAATAGTTTGGATTCTAAATGCTGTGATTCATACAGAAAGTTAATGGATAGAAAAATATATCAATCCATTAAGACCCTAACACTGTAAACACATAATGATTCCCATTATGATCAGCAAGAATTCAGAGCCTGGAATAAAATGGGATAATATAACCCATAATGTGATTTTGTTTAATTGTAAATTATGGAGAGGGGTAACTAGTGGTGTCCCCCAAGGGTCAGTCCTAGGACCAATCCTGTTCAATTTATTCATAAATGATCTGGAGAAAGGGGTAAGCAGTGAGGCCAGTCTAGACGTAGCCCCCATGTACAGTTTTAAACATAAGCTGAAGTTACAGCTTGAATGTGTTTTCCAGACAAGTTTGGGGAGTGGATAAACCATTTGCTGAAGACAAAGAAGAAGCTGACACCTCTAGTCATTAAACTTGACTGGCTGTCACCTGTAAAACTGCCATACTTGGCAGTGAAGGGGAGGGGGGGGCAGAAATAAACATTCACATTTTAACATGCAACAAGGAGCCTCTTTCACTATGAAATCCCATTTCTCCACAATCACAGAGGGAGGAATTTTATCTAGCGGGTAATCCTGAGGGGAGAAACACTTCAAAGGGTAACTAGGCTATAAAAGAAAGGGGGCTAATTCACCCCCTGTAGTCTCTTCTCTATTCTTTCTATCTCCCTCTTACTTTTTCATCTAAAGGAAAAAGAAATAATCTTTGGATTTTGGGAGGGTTTCTGACCTGATAATCTGGTCAGCCATTGTTGGAAACATTTGGTTAGAATTTTACCTTGAACCAAATCTAGTTTGCTAACTTTCCATTACTAGAAAGTATTTTATTTTTATTTCCCTTGTAAACATTTCTGAATTTAATGACTTATATACTTATACTCTATCTCTTTGTAATTAAGTAAACTTGTTTTATTCTTTAATCAAAATTAATCCAGTGTTGTGTTTAACTTGAGTCACCAAACAATACAGCATAAAGTAGAAAACTGTTTTACATTTGACCCCTTATAGAGGAAAGGGATCTACAATACCTGAACTGCCCAGGACAGGGCTGGATAAAGTAGAACACACATTTTTTTGCGGGGGGGTGGAGAGAAAATATGAGACTGGGAATGTGTTGGCATCATACTACAAATGATAACCAAGGCTAGTGGGAGCTGGAGTTTGACTGGAGTCTTGCTGGCAGGCTCTAACTATCCGCAGATACTCAGGGTGCAAACTGTATGCTCCCTGTTTATGAGGTGCCCAGGTTGGAAACCCAGCGTAGCAAGGCAGGTGATGACACAATCCTTCCCTAGTCCGGATTGCACCTTAGAATGTCATAATGAGCTACCCATATCACATGTCATACTGTGACTGAAAGAGACACCTTCAGGGGCTTCTACATGCCCTCCAACTCAGATGGGTGTGGAGTGGAAAAAGCTTTAACTCTATTATCTCTCAAACTGCCAACAAGTGCACCTGAACAACTGCTCAGGAAAAGCACTGCCATGGCATATTCTTCTCTCCTGTAGAGCAAAGGGGATCCAGGGACCACATTGTGACTGTCACAATTTCTTCTCTGGTTTGTTCTGAGACATCATAACTATATGTTACCCCTTACTTGTGGTACCTGCTCAGTCTCATTCTATGGAATGTTTTTTTTTTTTGCTTGAGTTGGTATTTTATAGACATACCAAGTATAGTGTCACATGACCTGCACCTCATGCACTCCAGGAGGGCATTGTCTTGTTCCGTGTATGTTCCTTCTGTGCATGGGTCACAAACTGCGGTTTTGTTGGTTTTTGTACAATCAGCATGTTTAAATGAACCTGTAAAAATGCAAAAAGAAGAATGAAACTTGCAGTATCTGTACCCAGAAGTTGTCAGAGGAAAGATCTGCTTCAGGTTTTCTGCTTTTCTTCATCTCTTAAACTTTATAATGTATGACTAGTAACAGGCTCAAAGTTTTCTAAATACTATAGATAAACTAGATGGGTATCTATCTGTACATGTCTTTTGGTAAAGTAACATATGCAGGGGTGGATTTAAAATTTTTATTATTAAAAACAAGAAGAGACTTTTACTAACCAAATTATCTGCCCAATGAAAATACCCATTTACAGGCTTACCTAGGTAACTGTGTGGGCAAAAAAGTATGAATGCATTTTTAAAAATCTCTTTCAAAAGTGTGCATGTTGTAGCTTACATGGACTTGTTTAAAATCCATGGGGAGTTATTGGCATTAACTCAGTAAATATGTGTTTTTCTAACATTCTGCATTCTAGTTAGGTGTTGAACAGATCATGCAAAAATGCTTGCACAGCATGGAATAACCATATACTTCTTTCGGGAAACAGCAAAATATAGCACAGAGACTAATCCAAAGAATAGAGATTTCAATGCAAAAGGGATTTCTGAATAAAAATATGAAGAGACTGTAGTTCTGTCTCTTGAGGGCCAGAGGAAGGTCCTACCAAGGGATTTCTGAATAAAAATATGAAGCCACTGTAGTTCTGTCTCTTGAGGGCCAGAGGAAGGTCCTATAACACTGTGTCCTAGTAGAAGCTACAGCATATGGAGCAAGAGTACTCAATTATTTTTATTTTCAGGGCCCGTTCAAAAGTAGCTGGTGGTTCAGATTTGGCCTACAGTTCACCTGTTGACTAAGGCATTAGTTTAAAAAAATATTTTTGTGACCCAGTTGAAGAAAATTATTGATGCTCATGACCCAGCATAATTATATTTTTTGACTAGAGTGTGTGCTCAGGAGGTGTCAGGAATGAAGGATCTGGGGTTCAAGAGGGGGCTCCTGGTTGTGGGGAGGCTCAGGGCTTGGGCAGGGTGTATGTGCTTACCTCCATCTGCTCCTGGTGAGTGGTGCAATGGGGGTGCTAAGGCAGGTTTCCTGCCTGTCTTGGCACTGCAGACAATGCTGTGCTCTGCAAGCGTCCAGCAACAGATCTGGCTCCTAGGTAGGGATGTAAGCGAATTGTCGACTAGATGACTACCTGGTAAGCATGTGCTTATTGGATTGCTGAGTAGTGACTCGGCTAGTTGCTTCTCCCCCCCCTTGCTGCCTCTATCAAAGTGAGGAAGGAAGTGGGGGGAGCAGGAGCCAGTGCTGGGGGGAGCCAATTTAAAAGTTGGCTCCCCCAGCACCATCTGTGCAGGGGGGCAGAGGAGGCAGAGGCATAATGAGGAAACAGCGCACATGGGGACTGATGCAGTCCCCACTCATGCCTGCTGTGCTTCTGCCTTTGAAATGTAGTAAGAGCCATAGCAGCTCTTACTACATTTAAAAGACAGAGGTGCAGCTGGGATAGCGAGTGCCCTACCTCCCACTTATCGACTGATTGAGTTGATTAGATGATTAATCGAAATTTAACATCCCTACTCCTAGGCGGAGGCACACAAACAGCTCTGCAAGCTGCTCTTGACCACAGATACGGGTCCTCTCCAGCTCCTATTGGCCAGTAATTGGTCAATGGGAGTGTGGAACCAGTGCTCAAGGTAGAGACAGTGCATGGAGCCCATGCTCTCCCCTCTCCCTCCCGCCTAGGAGCCAAACCTACTGCAGACCTACAGTGAGATGACCTAGTGCCTGACATTGTGCGATCCCATGCTGGGTTGTGACCCAAAGTCTGAAAACCACTGGACTAAGGAGTATTGTGGAAAGGGATCAAGAGGTCATAGTGGACCATAGCTAAAGATGACTCAACAGCATAACACTTTTGCAAAAAAGTGAACTTCATTCTGGGATGCATTAGCAGGAGTGTTGTACGCAAGACATGAGAAATGATTCTTTTGCTCTACTCAGCACTGATTAGGCTTCAACTGAAGTATTATGTCCAGTCCTGGGTGCCATATTTCAGGAAATGTGTCCAAAGAAGAATAACAAAAACTGATTAAAGGTCTAGAAAACGTGACCTATGAGGGAAGACTGAAAGAACTGGGTTTTTTTAGTCTGGAGAAGAGAGATAGAGAGGGCTTGTTAACAGTTTTTAAGTATCTAAAAACAATGGGCTAGGAAAAACTTCCTGTCAGGGTGGTTAAGCACTGGAATAAATTGCCTAGGAAGGTTGTAGAATCTCCATAATTGGAGAATTTTAAAAGGCATTTAGACAAACACCTGTTAGGATGGTCTGGATGTTACTTGGTCCTGAATGAGTGCAAGGAACTGGACTTGATGACCTCTAGAGGTCCCTTCCAGTTCTATGATTTTATACTCCTGCCATAGAGTATTTATCCAGCAGTATGCAATTCTGCCTGTGGCCATTTCCACTCACTACTTTTTCCATAAATTATCTTAAAATGATACCTACCTGGTGCACACATTTTACAGCACATAGTTTCTGCATGATATTCTCCCTCTTCACATTCAAGTTCCCTTTTAGAAATATTCTTCTTTATCGACAGCTTATCAGATATAGAGTGTGCAACAGGCACATCACTGTCATGCTGTGATCCAGTAGTCCAAACACACACCTAGGAGATAAATTATAGTTATAGGAAAATTGCCCAATCTCTGCATCACAGTAGCACTGGACCCTGAGGGAGGAGTTGAAGATGGTGTGGGAACAGTACCCTGCAGCAAGGGTTAGAGGAGAGGTTGGGAGGGGGAAGAGGGAAACAATGTCTCATTGTGTATTCCTCATCTCAGAGGTGACCCTACACAAAAAGGCTGCAGCGCCTTCATCTAGGCCTGTGAGGAGATCTGGGAGCCAGAAGTGCTCTGAGTGCTGGAAGGTCACCCCAGAGGTGTGTGTCTATATCCCTCAGAGCTTGCAGCTGTTCTGACTGATTGCTTCATTAGGACCTACAGAAGGGTCTGGAAAAATTCATGGGGACACCTGTTGGTTAGCAGGTCTGACATTGTGAAGAGAACTACAAATGCCATTTCTTTCAAGGGACAGAAAGTGAAAGATTAGAGGAAGAGCAAATACAAAATGCACATGAAAAGAAAAAGGTGTAAAGTGTGGGATAGAAATCAGGATAAAATGAGTGATCATAGTAATAACTTTCTAAATGACAGACACGTGCAAAGGAAATAAATGATAATCATGCAGAAACCACACTGACAAACTCTCTTAGCTGCTACTATGTACATGCCACACATGAACTCATAGATCTCTTCAAAACCACCCCAAGCTCTCTCCTTGTTGACACAATAGGGTAAGAGAGAAACAAAACATTTAGTAACATATTTAGAACCAATGTATTACCACAGATAATTCTTCTTAATACAATAAATGCGGATTACTTCTCAGGAACTGTCTTTCAAGTAATATCATGTAGGCACTACATATCGGAACTTCATACGCTGCCCTACACCTGATATTCTTCCTTTTTTGCTTCCCTTGACATTCTAATTTTTCAAAGTATTTCTTTATATCCCAGGTTCACTTTATTCTTTTTCTCTTTGAATTGCTACTCCCATATGACATGAAGTCCTTTGCTATTAAAAAATTCATTATTAATAAAAAAGGAACACTAATGGTAACACGTGATGGTATGCTTGGGAGAGACCACTCACGTCCTCAGTACTACTCATATTACTCAGTGACAGTAAAAGAAGTTACACACATGCATTAAGGGGATGATAGGTGCTTTCTGATCTGCCTTCATACAAATGGATGATGCCATGCGTACTTGGAATGCTTAAGGTATGTATTCTTAAAATGACTCATGGTGGCTTTTTTTTCTTTTCCTAATCTAAGATAAATGCCTTTTTAAATTAAAACTCTAAACATACAATAGAAACAAAATTAGTAGGGGAAACTAACCCCAGAAAACCCCTTAGCATTCATAATTTGGGCCAGATTATCAGTTCCAATTCCATTTGAGCTGCTCAGGCATTAATCTTCTTTCAGGGCTCCTCTCTATTCTGGGGAACCACGAGAACTGAGTTCCAATGACAGGCACTAGTTGGGAAGTCCTTGGCAGTGTGGCAATTGAGCCAAGTTACCTATGGAGCTCAGGAAGCCATGGAGCAATTGAGCCAAGCTACCTATGGAGCTCAGGAAGCCATGGAGGGCTTTATGGTTCCTCAATGATCCATGCAATTTGTGGATCATAACCTTGGTATTTTCCACAGCGGGCGCAATTCCCATGCATGGAGAACTTCCGAGAAAACAGTATGTAGGACAGTGGTGGGCAATAAATAACGACAGTTCACCAGAGTTAGTTCCTGGCAGGCTGCCGCCACTGTATTTACCCGTTCCTATGAAAGTACCAGAGATCGCAGCTCCTGTTGGCCATGATTTGCCCATTCACAGCCAATGGGAGCAGCGTGGACCAAGATACGACTTTCCACAACACCCATTGGCAGAGAGTAGTGATCCATGGCTAAGAGAAGCTGTGATTGACCATATTGGTGGAGGCGCAGATAAATATAGAGGTGGGGGCCCATCAAGGGCTAATCCTGGCAGACCAGATCCGGCTTACAGGCTGGTGGTATTTGTCCACTTCTGATGTCGGGGCATAATTTAATCCTACCATAGCTGTAACACCTACAATATTTGTATGCTCCGTAGTATTCAGTGCACTTGAGTAATAAGAACCAGTGGGGCCAGAAAAAGGAATTGAGTTTAATTTTGTGAAGTCAATAGAGTCACAGTGGAGTAAAACCACCACAATCAAATTTATAAATATTGGCATTAATTTTTTGTCTCAGTTTCCCTATCTGCACAATAGAGATAACAACAGATCCTTGTAACACACAACTATTCTGTGGATAGTTTGGAGTTCTTTCTCAATGCAAATAAGGATTACTGTCTATTGTTAAGACTTGCAGCAACACTAGCAGCTTCTATATCATTGTTGCTATTCTGTGGCCGGATATCATCATGGAAGATTCAGGGGAAGCTTCTGATCTGTTTTTTTTTTATACAATATATTGCAGTTCACTTTTCAGCATTTCCTGGTTGGTCAGTGTCTTGCATCAAAGTAGAAGAAAACAGAAATTCATCTTACCAGAAAAAATGTAAACATATGGTGCAAATACAAACCCTGTTATGCAAATACTTATGACGGGGTAACTTTACACCAGTCATCCAGTTGACTTTAATCTGATAATTTATGTGCATACATTTTAAGCACGTGCACAGTGTAACAGATAATAGAATGGATGGAATGCTTTATTGTGAGGGCCTTTACTTCTAAGAGGTCTTTTCTAAATTCCCAGAAATTTGCTGCTTATTAGATACACAATCTTCTTATATAAATTAGAAAATTATTGGCTAATATTAGTTTGCTATTTTCAAGGTATCCAAATGTGTTCCTATTAGATTTAGTTGCTTTCCCTCTATTCTGTATCACTTTTATCATTGTTGTATGAGTGTCTTCCAGCTGTTTATTCAAATGGTCTATGTTTTGTTTTTTCTAGTCTTGTGATAACAAAGAAGGAATATTAAGAGCCTAAGGATGGTCCCCTAATCAAGGTAGGCATCACCTAATGATTTAATATGGAGCAGAGGAAGTACGTTTTCATGAAACACAAATAAGGATGGAACTCACTGTCATGAGATGTGACAGCTAAGTATCACTGGCTTCAAAAAGGACTGGACCCCCAACTACCAAAAGATAGGTGTGGAAGATAGGGGAGGATCACTACAAAATTGCCCTGTTCAGTATGCTCCTCCCAAAGCTCTAGTAGTACAGGCCACTGGGTAAGATGGACTATGATCTGATCCATTATGGAAGTTCTTATGTTCTTAAGAATCTGTTCCGCAACTGCTGTGCCATGATGAGTGTAGAAGTTTCCCCCTGTGGAATCATTTGCAGGATCAAGGGTTAATAAACACAACTACTCCCATGCTCAGGTGTAAGTAAATTAATTGGGCAGATGCATACTGTAGGGCCCTTTTAAAAAGCGTGGTAAGATCATATGCTAGATCAGAGAAGAGGGAATAATAGGCATTTGGGAGAGATATTTCCTCTCTGGCTAATAGGACTGGGATTCGACACAGAGCCTGGGTTAGATGGAAACATAAGCCCACTGTGTATATTAACGGAAGGGGCATTGGGAAAAAGTTTTGTTTATACCATTATCTATTTGTGCTAAATACTTCCAGGATATAAATACATTTCTATTTTTGACTGTGCTTACGTGTATATGGGTGTGATATATTTAGCGTGTCACTGCAGTTGGTGTGCTGGAGGCATTTCTCCCCTTTTGACACACACAAACTACACGTCCACGGTTTGGATGTTCAGCATTGCTAATGCTATTTAATTAACATTTGGTGTTCTGTGGAGTGGCACAGTTGTTGTACAGCTCCACAGTATAAACTGAGTCTCCACAGTATACGGTTCCACAGCATAAACTAAGTTACATAGCTGCATTACCAAAATTAATTTTGCACGAGTGATAAATAAAATCTATTGCTAAAATTTCACTATCAATCATCTTAATAATAGCCTCTGCTCTACAAACAATCATTCAATGACAAATGTAATCTCATACTGCAGGAAGATCTCATGTGTGAAATACAACACCTTATCTCTGAGAGAGATGACAGAAGTAACTGAGGATGATTCATACGGTTGTGATCCTCAAACAAAAAGATAGAAAATGTCCGAAACAGTCTTAGTATATCTCCTGGAGTAGATGAAGACTATGTCTACACGTCAGGGTTATTTTGGAATAACTAACGTTATTTCGAAATAACAAAGAGCACATCTACACAGCAAGCCATTATTTTGAAATAATGTTGACCTGGAGGACTTCTTACTCCGACTCTTGTAACCCTTGTTTTGAGAGGTGTAAGGAAAGTCGAAGGAAGAATGTTCTTTCTTCACCTTCCTGCTGTGTAGACAGCGTGGAAAGCTGAATTAGCTATTTTGACTTACGCTATGCAATTGACGTAGCTCAAGTTGCGTAGCGTTATTTGACTTTTGCCCTTCAATGTAAAAGTACCGGAAGGGAATGAGTAACTCCAATCCTGCAAATACTCAAGAATGTGCTTAAGTGTTGGCAAGATCAGGGTCATACGAAATAAGTTTGATAAATGGTGGATGTCACATTTTCAGGGCCCAATCCTGTTCCCAACTTTCAATTATATTTAGGCCATTAATATTATTTAATTTCATTTCACTTCTGTAGTGTCTGTGGCCATTAAAGGATTAGTAACTGCCAACTGCTGGGGGACAGTTTTCTTATCCTAGGAAATAGACGTGACAACTGTAGAAGTCAGTTTTCAAAACCAGAACAGCTGTCCAAAATAGAAATCCACCTGTAAACCAGCTAGTGGAGGGTCCTCCAGCTCCGCAAAACCTTCTCTGTCCTCTTACTGCATCATGTAAGGTACATTTTAACTCCAGTACGCGTTTTACTGCATCGCTTTACTGCACAGAAAGACGCAGTGAGAAAGGTAGGCGAGTTCCCGTCACAGGCTAGGTGGAGTTTTCCCTTTGCGAGCTGTTGAAAACACCGGCAACAACAAGCCGCTTCTAGGAAACCGCGTGTGAGAGTCACGTCCCGTTCGC